GGTTAAAGAATAAAATCGAAAGATTTGATCAAGAAGAAAAAAGAACATTTAAGAACTTTTATAACTACCAATAAGATTACGAAAAGATTTATTTTCTTCATGAAGGGAAGAATTCTTTGACGAAAGAATATTATTTTGAGATTTAAGATCTCTAATAATATTATGAAGAGATTGATTTTCCTCTTTAAGAGAAGAGTTTTCTAAGCGAAGAGTAGAGATGATATTTTGAAGTTTAACAAGTTCTTTATGCATAATATCATAAGAATTTGTAAAAGAAAGACATAAGTAATCAATCATCGAAGAAAGCAGATGACTTAGAGAAAATGATAGAAAATGACTCCGGATAATTTCCTGGACCGAGATAACAATAGAAGAACCATCTGAAACTTCAAGACATCTGAGATAAGTCCGAATATTAAGAATGGATTCTTGAATATTAACTGGAAGATGATTAGACTGAACGAGATCATCTTCAAGAGATTTAAGCAAATCCAAGATGGAGCTGCAAGAAAAATAATCGTGAATAAAAAAAGAAAAAAAGAGAGAGAGACGTTGATAAAGAATCAAACAAGAAATATAATTTTACCAGATGAAATCAAAACAAGGTGAAGAAGACATTTTAGATAATGATAAACGAAAAAACAATATTCCTAGTTAAATAGATGAGAAGATTTAAATAATCACTACCAAATATGGAATTTATATAGACAAAAAAGGAACAGATAATAACGAAAACACCAATAACTTTATTATGATTTAGAAAGTTGTTCTTTGAGAAAGGAAATTTCTAATTCGAGATCACGAACTCTGTCACACAACATTTTAACATAATTAGAAGCTGAACGACCCTCAGGAGAATTAGAAAGAATATTACAGATCATCGTTCTTATAACCTTAAAGGTTTCATTGTTAAACTGACATCTTCTACAGTGAGAACCGGAAGAACCACTTTCAATAATTTCTCTGAGCCGATCAGTTTCAGCAAAGCAACCAACACAACTAGGACAAAGAAAAGGCCTTGAAGAAAAGACAGCATGAGAAGGAATAGGCAACCTATAAAGAAAAGATGAATTAAAGTAATGATTGCTAAAAGAAGGAAAACGAGTTTGATCTCTGGCCAATAACATTTTCTTAAAAAACAAAGCGAACAAATGATATTGTATGACTGTTAAAGTCTGCCAGTTGTATAACCACTCCTTCATGATTACATCTGATCCAAATTGCTTAAATGCCTGAGCATATTAGCGTACTAGACAAGAAAGCGAACTCTATTCACCTCACATGAGATGAACTTGCGAGAACAGAAAAATAAATTTATTAAAGAAGAGGGAAAGAGAAAGGAACATGTATAAAGCGAAAGCACTCAAATGAATGCAATAAATGAAGATTATGGAACTAAAAGATAACAATCATTACCTTGAAGGATATAAGATATCCTTACGACCCCTAGGAGCAACATGAGCAGAGTATGATGAAGCTTCTATGGTAGAAACTTCAGAAAGAACCTCAGATTGAGCATCTTCAGGAGGTTTAGAAGAAGGAATATATTCAGTACCCGAAGAGGGAGGAGAAGAAGTACTACCACCGAGAAAGTTCTCTGAGACAACAGAAATAACTCTGCCTTTGGAATTAGTAATCGCAACATGACGAGACAGTGGAATATCACTTAAAGGAGTAATTGAGCGAGAAGACATAGTTAATAATAAGAAAATAAATTACTAAGATAACTATAAACTTATCTTTAAATACTTAAGAAGACTTTGAAGAAAACTTGCTAAGGAAACAAGTTAAACATATAAGGAGAAAAATCGACACAAAAAAACACGGGAAGGAATGATTAGCAAAATCAAAGATGTAAACAAGTAGTACGGGGATAGATCATTGTACCCAATAAGAATCAAGAAAATCATTGTACTGCACGAAAAACAATGTAAGTAACCTTATAAGTCAAAAGAACACATGATGCTTATTGAAGCAATGCCACATGTGCAGTTCCTTAAAAAATAATAAAAGAAGCATCAATAATTAACAAAAGAAATCTTTCAATGACAAAGAAACAAAACTTTAATATTGAAATAAAAATGACTCATCAGGAACACGTAAAGGAAGGTATAATTGAAACTATAAGAAATAAAAATGCTTTCACCTGTTGCTAAAGGAAATA